ACAAGACCGAAATAGTATATTGTGTCATTAGGACCGTAGACGGAGGTTTGCGATGAGTGTGAAGTTAGCAGCACGAGGCGTCGGTAAGACAGGACGAGGCGCGCCTCGTCCTGTCTTACCGATTGCCGAGTGCTGCTAACTCACACGAATCGCAAACCGACGTCACGGTCCGTATGACACATACTATTTTTTGTCATGAAGGCCCGTGGAAGGTGAGGGGGAGGGGAAGGAGAGGGGGCGCAGAAGCGGGGTCCAGGGGCCGCAGGCCCCGGTGGGGGGGTTGGGGGGGCGAAGCCCCCCCCACTGTAGAAAAACGAAATGACAAGTGAAGAGAAAATATTGAAGAAAAAGAGATGCAAAATCCTAAATTGAGATTCGAAAGAACGAATGCAAAAGTTGTAATTCACGGAGTCTGTCAAAAACATTCAAAAAACATCTAGATGAGAATGGAAATCTTCCTCCTCCTGAAATGGAAATTGCAACAAATTGAAAGAATAAAAAGAAGGATTAATCATTTTTCTAAATTTATTCTCATGAGAAAATCAACGTGTGAACATCTACAGTTTACAACTTTTCTTTTTCATCGTTCCTCTTCTTCTCACAACATACTCAAATTTTTCATCACATTTTAATAGAAATATATATATAATCTATTCAAAATAGATATATAACGAGAAAGTGAATATAATCTCTTTATTAAACTAATATTTTGACAATATAACCCTCAAGTTACGACTGACTCCCTAGCAACGGAATAACAACTCCTGATGTCATCGGCAATGACGGTGGCGCATCGTATTAGTGGTGAACGATCCGCCGAGTTTTCAAGCAAGTGACAGCGATAACCGCACACTTCATGTTGTATTCCTACGAAGGTTTTGTGGGTTGCCCATCTAGAAACTGTATGTTTTTATTGTCCTAGGGCTGCTAACTCGAGTTAACCATACCTGTGCTTCGTTTAACGGACCTGGTCTGTTAAACGCCATTTAGCTTCCCTCAAGACAGCTATAGTAGGCGCTACCTAACGGGCCTGAATGACGAAAAACATTTTTCTGACGAGTGTGAGGGTTGCAGACCGAGGGGAAGCCGAGGAATGCAATCACACGAGTCAGATAAGTTGTTTTCGGCCGAGTGACCAACATAATTTTTCTTTACAGTCACCGTAAACGTCGTTTTACGGATACTTCGTGTCCGTCAAACGTCGTTTACGGACAGTTTGATGAAAAAATTTTCTCAAAAATATTAAGAACGCTTGATTTCTTTACCCATTCTTCCTATTGAACGGCGAGCGATTACTCAAATCGTATGAGTTTTAGCTATGTTAAATTGGAAGTTTTTTTACGATTTAAAATTGACGGTTTATACTCTTGTACCTTCTCTATTACTTGACGAAATAGCCGATATTACTGTATTGACTAGTAAAAATCCCAGCGGAAGACGAGATTGTTTTCAATTTTTGGAGTCTTCTCCCTAAAATTCTACAAAATTTCATCCCTCTTTTCCTCCGTTCCTCTTTTCAGAATAAATATACATTGAGTTATACATGGAGTTCTCGAAAGTTATCGAGAATAATTTTGAAAGATGATGAAGAAGATTAAATAAGGTTTTTGAGTTCGGTTATTTAAAAATTTTTCCTCTCCCTTGTCTTCATATGCGAAAATTCGTTTTGTAAAAGGGGTGGGGGGGAATATTTTTTGACCGATGGGGTAAAAAATCATGTTTATGGTTTAAAATTTAACTTGTGTCAATTTAAATATTACTTTAATGTCACTATTTTCTGCTATATCGACTTTTACTTTTTACTATATGTTCAACAGTAATTTTTCCAACGGACTCCATCATATTCTAATTTTGTCGGCTGCATTTTTTTATCCAGCACATCGTAGTTTTTCATTTGTTTTCAAAATTACGATGCTAAATAGTCAATTTTCTATTGTGACGTATACGGTCACGCATTCTATTTCTCGTATTGAAAAATACTATTTTTCCATGGCAAAAAATAATGTTATGTTCTTTCTTTGTACATCAAGCGAAAACATCGTTTTTCGTGTCTTTGACTTTGAATTACTCCTCGCATCACAATTTTCATTCGTTTTAAACGTTTGTATTTCAAAGTATTTGGTATATTCCCTACAATAAAAACTACGTATTTTTCCGATTATCTCCAGTAGATCATAGGAAAATTAATTATTTTTCGGTTTACTAATTTTGTTTGTTTTTGCATACTGCAAAGAAAAATCATTGGTTTGAGTGGTCGAATATTTGAATAGTAAATAAAATGTGTAAAAAAAATAATTTTCCGATGATTTATTTGAAAGACTAAAAGAAATACCAAGTTTTATTCTAATTTTAATTTTTTCTTGGCCGCTCCTTAATGAAGAAGGAATGGGCAAAATCTGTTTAAACTGTAAATACTAATATTGTTTTGGAAAATGAGAAAAGGAAATCTCAGAGAAAAAGAAATCTTCTAAACTATCCATCTGATATCATCCATCCACAATCCCATCCTGTAATATGATAAGAGCTGTAATCCTACTGAATTCCAACTTCCGATGTCAATTCGTTTGAGAATTATAGGTTATACATCGATTTTATCATAACCAACATATTGTGAATTAACTTGATAGACACTACCACGAGGAATATTTTGATATTATAAAAATTCAATTCAGTCGCGTAGTTTTCAACATATTAACAAAAAGTTTTCTGAGAAATTTCTGTATGAAAAACGACTTGACCGATTGAACTAAAATTTCACTCATGAGTCAATTTCACTCACGAATCAATGCCAATTATGGGACAAAATTTCAGATCTTCAACTTTGACTCAAAAACTGGAAGTTTAACAATGCATATCTCAAAAATTGGGTGGACGAAATAATGGAAATTTTGGTAATGATTTTTCAACATTCTCAAAAACGTATGAACCAAATTTTTAGTCCCTAACACATTGCGAAACTTTTACTATCTATAAGTACCTGAGCAAATACTTTAATCAAAATCTTTGAGAAACCTCCTTTGCAGGAAATTTAAATTTTTTAACCCAGATATTTAGTGCATTTGGTACCAGCATGAGTCAAATTTTACTCTAATTTTTCACATAATATCCGAAAATTCTGCAAAAAGTTCCGAACAGAATATTCCTTCACTGAATTTTCAACTGAAAAATCTACTGCACATTCGACATTCTCTGGCTGTATGTCCTTGGGCGCTGGTCGTATCGGCAAGTTACAACGGAAAAAACCTGAATTGAGTATATTTTATACCGGAATGAAGTATGTGCAAAAACATGAATCAAAAATAAAATATACTTAATTCGAGTATAAAATATACTTGATTCAAGTATATTTTATACTTGAATGGGGGATGGGTATTTCAATTTCAGAATGATTCTTTCGTATCAGGCCGCATTGTACCAAGCCCTCTCAAGCATGATATTAGGATCAGGCACTAAGTGTCAGAATATAAGGGTGAAAAAGTGGAAGTTTAAAAATGAGGGTTGGAATATTGGGATCAGAAACTGAGAGCCTGAATGTAAAGGTGAAGGAGTGAGGGTCAGAACATAAAAGTAAAAAAAGTGGGTGTCAGGCAACGGGGGTCTAAAAGGTCTAACCTTAAAGAAAACTCGTTTTGCTCTGGTAATATATACTTGACTGTAAAATGCACATCGATGCATATTTACAATTAATTTCGTGTGAATTGGATTTCTTTCTTCCTTAATTAATTTTGCTTTGGTTTGTTAATGGGTGAATACCACTTTCGTTGCTACATATTTCGACTTGAAATTTTCTATACTTTTCGAATAGAAAAAAATTGCATTATCTGTGATGAAAGACTGAAAAAACTGATTTTGAAAACTTCAAATTCGATTGTTACCGATAAAGTAAAATGCTACATAAAAAATAAATGTTTTTTTTATAGAAAATTACGAATTTTTCACACAAAAAATGTATGTATTAATTTTTTTCCAGCACTCATTATACATGTAAAATCTATTTAAAAATGAATTGGAGAAAAAATTGATTGCTCATATCTCCCTTCCTAATTGAGTTTAAGGTCTAAAAATTTAGGACAAACTTCCTTTCTATACTACTGACAAGTGGGGAAATGTTGGGAATAATTGAAATTTGAAGCCGAATGATCAGCTCGTAATTGGTGAAAGATGTCTTATATTATTTTTGATTACTCTTTTTAGCCCTTACATTTAACCAAATTTTTTGTTCTTATATTCGGGCACTTAGTACTTCATCCTTATATTACACTTGAGAACGCTTGGTAGAACCCGACCTGATACAAAAGAATCATCCTCGAACTGAAATACTCATCCCCCATTTGAGTATAAAATATGCTTGAGTCAAGTATATTAGATGCTCGAATCAAGAATAATATACTTAAATTAGGATAATTTTTTTCTTGATTGAGGTTTATGCATATACTTGATTCTGGTATACAGTGGGGGAAAAAAATTGTTTTTACCAAATATTCATTTACTTCAGAGAAGTATTTATTTTTTCAAAATCGTATTTCTCCAATCGAGTCATTACCAGGCGAGCCTGACTAGGTTTCAATTACAACAATGTACGACTATGTTGTACATGACCTTGGATGAACTCTAATGATTATTCATTTTTCCTAAATTTCTTATTTTCCAGAGGGAAGAATTTCGATCAATTTTTTAATGTTGATAATTATTCAAGGAGTTCACTCAAGGTCATAAATAATATGATCATCTTCTAGAGCAATATAATTGACATAATTGAAACCTAATGAAGATTGCCTCAGAATGACTTGAATGGAGAAATACGGTATTGAAAAAATAAATATTTTTCTCAAGTAAATGGATATTTGGCAAAAATAACTTTTTGTCTCAGTGTAAAATATATTCAATTCAAGTTTTTTTTTCGTGACCACTAACAAGGAAACAATTGAAATTGGAATCTACAGTTTCGAATAAATTCTTCTGAAACATCTTCAACAGAACCTTCTCAACTCTTCACTTACTTTAGGATCGATTGGACAGCGTTTGTTGCAAGATGCTTTCTCTACGTGGATTCGGATTCCCGACATTTCAGGCTTCCCTCTTCAATAAGAAAAATCCGATGAGGAAATTTCAAAATTTCCTTTAATTTTTCACTTTCAAATTGAGAAACTTTGGTTATTTCTTATCTCCAAAATCGATCAACATAATTCACTATAAACTTTCCAATCAAAAAAGTCCAATTCATCATTAATTAATCAAATAATTTGTAGAATTAATTTGCGTGGCGAATGGCAAATCCCGAAGAACCTAACCAATTTTCTTCAAACTGCTCGCCTGTTTCCACATGAATGGTAACGGCAGTATTGTGCTCTGTGCTGTGACTATCCGACCAAAAATTTATCAAACATCACGTTTAATTAATTAACAAATTATACTGATGGAAAATCGTGCACAGAATCACCCTGCAGCACCGCCTGGGCTCGTCGTCAGTTAAATAGTGTCTCCCTCGCACTCGCGGCTAGAGACGCCCGCATCTGGCCTTTGGACTGACTCTTACAGTGGCTAAGATCGGTTTTATATACCTTCGTATCTCCCACCTTGTTTTTGTAATGCTCAACACAAACGCAGCTGTGAGTTTTACAAGCCTGAGGTATGAAACAAGCGGATTGTGGCTGAGTTCCCTACCTGTAGTGGCCTCTCTCACCGGATCTCTACAGTGTTAACGATCCTTAGGTCTATTGCAAGGACAACCGAATGAGGCAAATTTTTTTTCTAAATTCCATATCCTGAAAATTTGCAACTTCTTTAAGTTTTTCGTTGGCATTTTTCGTTGCAAAATTGATTGATATAAAAGTTTGGACACGCATTGTGTTGATCCAAGGGGGTACATGCAGAAAAAGAAACGAGATTTTTTCTATAAATACAGACAAAAATTAACGTGCCGTATAGTGAAGTGGTCTCAACCTCCCAGCACGGAAAAAAAATTCAGAGATATAGTATTTAAATTCCGTAGATTAAGTAATATTTTCTATAGCACCGGTGGTATGTGCTGAATTTGATATGAAATCTCAGTTTCCCCTTCATTTGACTGTGGTATATGGGAAATTTACTAAAATGTTGGCAAAAGAAATTATTCAATTTGGAAGAAAAAGTTCTTACAGAATAATAATTTCGTGAGCAATATCACGCTAAAATACAAAGCCAAAAAAGCGATGGCGGGGTCAATGTCTCGTCGCCAATTTTTTTTCTCGAAAAGTTGGTCTTTAAACGGACATTTTGTAAAAAATCATTGAAAAATATTACAAATTGAGGAAGTTATGATATTCTGAAAATTTCTCATTTTTTCAGATGAATATTTTTAAGTCATTTAAAAAAAATATTTTCATCAATATCTGATTCGAGTTTGGGGCTATTAAATTTAGATTTTTTTCAAAAGTCAGCTGTTCTATAATAACTAAGAAGAAATTATCTGAATTCATTGAATAATGGCTAAGAAAATTTGTTTCGATGTCCCTTTGATCGAGTTCGAAGAGGGAGACGATAGTAATATCGGTGTTTTGAGTTGCAGATTAATTTGTAAACATTTTGAATTTTTAAAATATCTGAGTTTCGGAAATGTATTTGAATGTCATAATTCGAATTAATTCTATTATGTCTTGAATTGTTAGTTTCGATTCGATCGAAGTTGAAAGATAATTGCGATAACCATATCCGATAATTTGATTTTGATGCTGATTTATGCAAATTTCAAATTTTTCCATGAAATTCCCTGAACGTGATCAACTCGATGGTTTCTCCAAATTTAATTCCTCAAATTCATTCAGTTATGTATGACCAAAATTTTTCTAATAACATTTTATTGAAGTTTCCAAGTAACATAGACAGGATCATTCTTTCATTTGATTTTTAAACGAATTTTCAAAAGAAATCTAATGCAATTGATTAAAAAAGAAATATAATTCAATCGAACAAAATAATGTAAAACGATAAATGATATACGATAGAAGAAAAATATTACAGAAACATGAAAATAGACGAATTTATAATGTGAAAGCTATATGCCAGAAGCTGAATCGAAAGAACATCGATCTCTCAATAACTGACTCGATATCCCAGTAACTGAATGACACCTTATTGTCATTGAGATTAATAATCAAAGATATCTAAGTATTTTTTATAGTTTAGTTCAGACCACACTATTTGTTCAACCATTTTCAACCCAGGTCAGAAACGTCTACCGTGACAATGGAAATACGGGTGGTCCAGAATGGGATATCGTGACTGGGTGACCTAGAGTAAAATCAAGCTTGTTTCCATCGTTGCATCATACATTGATCCCAGCTTAAACCGTCCATGTTCCTTCAAGCGTTATTCCAAAGTTGAAACAATCTCGTTTTTCAAGACTGGAAAATCCAGGATGGAATGAAGCTTGATTCCATTGTCGAATCCAAAGTTGATTTAAACATAGACGTCAATGTTCCATCCAACCTTGTTTCATTCTCATTTCAATCTCAATGCATTCAATAACAAATAAGAAGGTAGAAAATTGTTTCGCTCAATATCTTATGATTTTAACTCTAAATATTAGACCCATTATCAATACACAATTGGTGGAATTAAGAACTTATTTGTCACTATTCCACGCACGAAAAAATTTAATAGAAAAACCCAGCAAATTCGCTAGACAATTCTATTGAATTTGTATTAAACTTTCTATTCGTTTTGGCCGATTCTATTGAAACGTTCAACAGGACATATTCTAGAGAAAAAGACAATATAATTCACCTTTTCGGTACAACTTATTCTATTAAGATATTCTTCATAGAATTTCCTCAGCTGAAATATTCTGTCTTTTTCATTTTATTTTTCTTTTCTTTTCATGAAGAAACTCAAACAAAAAAACTTGAAAAATTAGAGCCGAGAAAATTCTATAGACAATAAATCCCAATAGAATAAGTTATATAAAAAAATCGAATTCTATTGACTTTTCCTATATACAGAAGAACTAATAGAAAGTCCGGTGGAAATCCTATAGAATTGTCTAAGGAATTCACTAATTGTAAAAAATCTCGAAACCATGAATAAAATGAAGTGTGCGTGAGAAAAATAATTGTCGGATTCATGAATCATGGTTGATAAACTTGATCATTGGTCTTCAAACAAAAACAAAAATTTATTGGTCATATTACGAATTCGAGTTTTGACCCCAAATGTTTGGCTTAGGCTTGGGATGCAGACCTGGGGGGCTATTCTCAAGAAAAAGCCGCTTTTTCCACGGCTTTTTCGAAGCTGCGATTTTCTGCAGCGAGGGGGCGACACGATAGTAAGTGACACAAAGTAATGACTTTGCGAACGCATTATGCGCATTTGCGCCTAAATGCTCCTCCATCTGCAATTTTTCATTTTGGAGCAGCTATAATTTTTATTGGAGTAAAGTGTTAATAATTCACTTCAATACGTGTTACAAATGAGATAAATACTTGACCGATCAATTAGTGAATAGAATTGACTACACATCGACCACTGAGAGTAGATATTGATGCTGGTAAATATCTCAGCTCCGATTTTTGATGTCGGAGCGAAAGTGGAATTTTACACAGCCATTGTATAAAATCCTTGATAACCCTGTTATTATTTTCATTAATAAAAGCCTACAAATAAATCCTATGAACCAATTGAACCTGTAGTATTTACTGAACAACGAGTCGGGCAAATCCTCCAGTGGATTTGAGGTACGTCTAATTGCCTTACGTCGCGCATTTAATAATCTATGTAAGCCCCGTTGATGGTCTTCGGCTTCTTCATCAACTAACACTGCACCTGTTATATTATCCGCCATCATCACGGTTGTTTTGGTTTAAATTTCCCTAAAGTTGACTTATCATAGCTCTCCCAAATGTTAAAGAAATCTGCCAGATTTGAGGTTTAAAATGCGTTCACAAAGTCATCAATTCGTGTCATTTAGTATCGTGTCGCCCTCTCGCGGCAGAAAATCGCAGCTTCGAAAAAGCTGCACAAAAAGCGGCTTTTTGTTGAGAATAGCCCCCCTGGATTCAATGACATCACATCAAGGGTTTAATCGAGGCTTATGATCCAAGCCTCGATCAAGACTGGAACTTCCAGCCTTGGAAACAGTAATTTTTCGCTCTTCATTCCAGTTTGTTTCAGTCTTGAGAATCCAAGCTTGATCAACCTTAGCCAAACTTGAACCAAGCCTGATCCAGTCGTTATTCCATTGTTTCACACCTGGGAATCATCAAATTTGTCAATTAATTGTGTGAAAAAAATTGAAAAAAATCATCAATATTCAGCGTCATTCGAATTACATTATGCACAGAATTATTTTTTTAAACATTCGTCGTTTATAAATAAATAATTAAAATTAGTTAAACTTTCGGAAACCCTACTAACTTCCCGACCCAAAGAGAGGAATTTATTGTAATGACTCCGAAAATCAAATTTTGAATTTTCATGGTTTGTCGATCGTTCATGACGTTTAGCATCATTTTCAAATGTTTCTGGGGACATGTGGGTATGTGCGTGTGATGCTAAGCAAAATTATCTCAGTCCTTTTCTCAGTATATTCGAATTAGTAATGCCACGAGACACTTTACGGGACAAAACTTTGGGAAGATGATCTTGGTCACAATGAACAGAAAAAACGGTCTCAAGTTTTTCGTGTTTTTTAAGGTCAAATTTTGATTCTTGTGTCGGTTTGTCTCGTCACGGTTTTCTACAAATAAAAACCGCGGACACCTGTAAACCGAGATGAGATAAATTAACTCGGAGTCATCAAGAAAGGAGTCGATACTGCGTACTTCAAGGCTGAGACGAGACCAAAAATTTCCGTGTTCACTGAGACCGAGACAATCCTTTCAAAGTGTTGTCTCGTCATGTCTTGTGAAACGTCTCAAAATTTGCTTTTTTTGTAATAAACAGAAGAATGGGAATTGGTTGGGCAGTGATTGGTTCGACCCGTAATGGGTCACACCCAATCCAGCACATACGCAATGGAAGCAAGCGAATCGAGCGACCAACAACCCAGTCAAATTTTTTTTTAGGTATGAACTCGATTTTTGATAAAATTCTGAATATGAATAAATTTGTTGCCATCCGGTACAATAGCATATTCTATGACGAGTGCCATGAGGTTTTCTACACGGACAGAAATGTACGAGACAAATTACCGTACTCGCACAGTAAAGTTGGTTCAGATGGTCTTTCCAGGCGAAATGTACCGCAAAGAGTAGAAAAAAGTACTGTTGCACGAGTCATTTTTCGGATAAATGCGGGGAAAAATTCTGGTGCAGCACGGTAAAATCGAAGCAACAGTGAATTTTTACGAGAAATACGAGAAAAATACTGGCTGGCAAATTTTTCCGGTGCTCTACCAGAATCCTACGACCCGATCGCGCATTCGTAAGATTTCGGCACCCTTCGTCCCCCCTCCGCAACCACGAACATCGACTCAACGTGACCAGATGATTTATTCCGTTGCCTCCTCTAGCCTCCTCTCTCACATATC